GTTATTCAGACGCTAGACTCTAAGAACTTTGACTCGCTCCACCTGCTGCGACACGCTCCGCCCACCGCTCGATATCTTGACTGCGTCGGAATGTTGATCTGCTATGCTCTCTCTACTTAGACTTCTCTAGCGCTCTCCGCGCTCACATTATCTCTCATCTCCCTGCCGGCCTTTTGAACTTCTCCGCACCGTAGAGGAAATGGCTCGTATTTCCTAAGCATTTCACGATTTCTTTTTCTCTTTTCTGCACTGGCGGTCCACTACCTACCCCTACTTTCACATTAAGTGGAATTAACTCATAATTCAATCGGACTGATCTTGCCTTTGAATCCGTTCTGAGACATGTTACTGTTATGTATCGAAGTGGTGCGGCAGATTGCGTGGATCAAAATGACACTAAAGTCATCGAAAATGACTAACAAAATAGAAAGGAAGTGGCCATTAGTCCAGAGAGAGCGAATAATAAAAAAGGAGCTCCTCTACTCTTAAGCAGGTGTCAGACTTTTTGATTGTCGCTAGTGAAAGTCTTCGCTGGTACATCGCTGCAAGATAGTATTGTGAGCCTGGAGGTGTCTAGCGGAAGCCAGGCCAACAGCAGACAATAGGACGGCTTTGGCAACTGGCTACGTTGATATGGCCTATATATTTAATAATTTTATAGTAAGATACGCGAAGAAGCTCTATGCAAGGCCTCACATACCAACTCATCAGTGTTGTCCTTAATCCCCGGATTTCTATTTTATTTCTGTACATTTTGGACTGCCCATACAGATAGCTTGTACATCTTTGTCTCACTTAATTTCATTACTCTAATTGTTCAGGTCGGATGGTTCCCTGAAGCGTTTGCTGAACCTATTGCTCCTGTACATTCTGCGGTTCCGCAGGTGAGGTGTTGCTGGCTGTGTGTGCAGTGATTGCGAAGCTACCTTTGTTCGAATAAGGAAGCTATTCTCCTTGCTTTCAGCCCATTCAAAACATGCCACCAAACGTCACGCCGTCTCCTTCACTGGATCGAATCCCTGAAGAATCAGTTGTCAAGTCAATCGTGGCGCAACCAGGTTAGCAAGAGCCAGCATTGGAAAGAAACTGAAAAAGTGCTTGGGCAAAAAAATCAGTCCTTTTGGTGATTCATGAACAAGATGAGACCAACAAGTAACAACGAAATATGAGAGACAGGAGCAAAGAAGAGCTGTTCTACAACTTACATTGGGATTCCTACATCTTTTTTTTCACACAGACATAGATAGTACATAAATTTACATTTTTACGCACGCACAAGGCTATTGTAAATTCAAGAAGATAAATCATTCGGGGTTGATTAGTAACTTGTTAAGATGCGCCACGCATTCCACTTCGTAGTAGCATTCAAATGCGATTCAGCCTACAGGGGTAGGCAAGAATGTCATTCGCCCGTGGCGCACATTACCAAACTTTTCGCATTTTACCACTATGGATGGAAATTTCACGGCACAGTAGGGGTACCTGAGGTGTCCCTTCATATGAAGAGTGGGCTCTCCTTCTCTGCCTTCACCGTCTCGAGAATATGACGTCATCTGTCATCACCGTCGAGCTCAAGGAGGCCTACCGTAATCGCTCCAGCCTGAAGCTGCTACATAATTTCTTCAATCGGTTAACTGGTGAATAGCTTCCCAGAGACACTAGCTGTGACTATGCAAGACCGCTTTTGACCAGCGTTTCAGAACGTCGTAATGGTCTATGGTACCTCGACGACCTCGTTGAGCTCGTACCATGTTTCCGTGGAAAATCTTCTGATGTCGTCGGTGTAGAAGGCTATCATGAAGTTCTTGAATAGAATCGAGTGCGTTTGGTTCGACTTTTGCAAACTGTAGTTAATTTCTGTTTTGTTTGTGGAGGGGAGTGACTTTTTCGCTTCCCCATCCCCTGTATGTAATGGGGGGAGGTACAAGTCACCGTTGTTTTCGCTGAGAAATCTTGTGCCAATAAGCCGAGTGAACCAAGGCAAGCCAACGTCAGGAAAGGGAATAGAATTTAGTTAAGCTGTGAGGGATTTTTGGGGAGGTTGATAGGTTCTCATTTCATAACAACCCGTCACCCCTCCCGCTCCTCGGGTAGAATGAAAGAATAGAGGGATAGGACATGGAGTTTGAGTCATGGACCCCATCTGGCTGCTCGTAATAGCCCTTAGGGAGGGTAAGAGTGTGGGTCGCATTAGCCGCAATTCTGTGACAAGCTATTGTTATGCTTCTATGGATTACCTGAATGGAAGGCTTGGTTTATCTGGACGAGATCCGATTCGCGAGTTGACCGCGGACCGTTCATGTGTGCACGACGCTACATTTCCCTAAATCACATTCACCTTTTTGTACTCCTGGAAGCAGATAATTGGAAACAACACAGGTAAAGTCAACAATTCAAGTCTAAAATGATGAGCAGATAAGAGAAATAGCATCTATATGCGTTGCTACTCAGTTGTTCATGTGATCCAGCTCGAAAATGGATTTTTGTTTTTTGTTTGGTAATTGATCGTTGATTGTAAAGTTAACTGGAACATTTCAGAGGCTACACCACAGGAGGCTCCAGTTACCGTTATTTGCTCCTGCGTAGCTCAATTCCCATGGAAAGCACGCAATGAAGGTGATCTCTCATTCGCAAAGGGCGATCCCATTGAGGTAATTTAGAAACCATTGCTTACTTGAGATAGATTTTATTTTGCTGCGCAAGAGGCGAGTGCAAAGGAGGGAAAACGAAATCAAGACCACGTTGTTATCCATTTAGGTAGCAGGGCTCAGCGCTTACAACGAAATTTGTTAGCCTAGGTGTTGTGACGTACGACGTGTAACTGTCGAAATCAAATGCTGGATTAGCCGTGGCGTTGCCAAGAAAATTTAGAAAGCACGACACTTTTGCTGGCCCCATGCGAACCCCTCCCTCTGCCACCTATACTACCACCTCTGTTTATAGTTCTAAACACTCAGGTTTCCTTCAATAAGCGACATCCTCCACCTTTCACGATCACGGATCTCTCCCAGTGCCCCAAATATGAACCTCCCTCGTTGGTAAATTGAATACTGACGAGTAGTGGACCCTGGTTTTCCGACCTTTTCTTCGAGTTGAAATTTTCGCGATCTTATGCCCTCTTAGAAGGGAAGGGCGCCAAGGAGTAGAGCGCTAAATGTTCCTCTGCGGTACGAATGATTGGATCTATTCTAAGCACTGAGGAATGGCTTGTGTAGCCCAAATAGACATTCAAATCTCTACCAGTTTGAATAAAGTGGAGCACCGCGCATTACAACATCCACCGTTGTAGTATTTAGGCTTTGCCTTCTGTAACCATTTTGTATTTTTGTTATATATTATGAAATTATTATTTTATTATTGTTATTATATTTATTATCTTTAAGTGTAAGATATTGTGACCAATTTAGTGTATTAATCTTATATCATTTGCTCGGATGACCATGTTCTCC